TATATTTTATTTTTTGAGACTGTATAGAGACAATAATTGTTCTAATGGGTCACCTATTTGAATATTACTTGACGCTCCATGGCATATGCCATTTTACATTTACACATACACAAATAAATAAATGAAATAATAACTCTTGGATATGTATATAGAGGAATCACAATATTATTAATGGATGAGCAATTGTACCTTAGTCTCTATGTGACAATGTCCTAAACGGTACCTTGTTTCTAGAATTATGCCATGACGCAAACAATAGCCGGAAAGCCAAGGCTAGAAAATATAGAGTAAACATCACATGCCCTAGGTAACACCGTGGATAATCATTAAGAGCTCTACCATAAAACTTGACCCCTATAAATACAATAAGAGGTTGGTACCAATCTGTACCACCTCCACCGAGGGTGATATCATAGACAAGTGTTTCCTGAGAAACTTGCCAGAGGTAGTCACAAAATAGGCTTGATCTAGCTTATTTGGGTAAGACACAATGTCTTTTCAGGGAAGCGCCCAAGACATATTTCATCCAAAGGAGAGGCCTCAGGTGTAAGAAAAGAAAGAAACATATGAGAAGATGTCTGCGACCATCAATACCACCAGTTCTTATCCGCTCACTACTGGCTGAATACTACTTCATGGGCCAGAGATAAGATATTTACTGTCAGTGCAGTTATATATAGATAATAAGACGACAATAAGCAAACACATGGCGAACACATGGGCGTAAAAACAATTAGTCTCAACCATCCCTAAATGGAGAGCTTTAAGTGGTCACAATCCATTACCACCACCCATATATTTCATCTACTAATTGATCCGGTTAGGTTTGAACCAAATGACTTACAACATATATGGCCGACTATTTCATAGATCATCATTTTTACAGCCAGTTGGCATTTCATTTGACTGATTTGTAGGGGATTACCGAACACTCTCAAATTGGGAGTCACAGGCCATTGAATAAAACATAAAATATTGGTGAAAGGAGGGGGATAGTGTTCGACTAAAACTGAGTTCCATACTGAGATACACAAACTTGAAGAAGCATACTGAAAACATGTAACTAGTTGCTGTACATATCACCGTAGCCAACCTGATAACCCCGTTATCCTTCCGCCTCAAAACCATGAATATTTACCAAAACCAGACAGAAAATGTTAATTCAAACCCTCTTTGCCCGTTCTAGACCAAAAAATCAACAAAAATGGGCATGTAAAAGGGGAAAAAAGAGACACAGAGAGAATTGCTATAAATAGACGAACTACAATGGTGATATTTAATGGTGGTCGTCTGCCTCCGTATAGCCACAGATCACTAATGATTTCCCCATTGACTTTAATGTTAATTCTCGTCTCTTAGACCGGCTCTAACGTTTCCCAAATTTTCGTTGGGTAGAACGCTTTCTACCACAGATGGAGCAACATGTGGTAACCTCTTTCCCAAAGGCAAATATGAGATTCTTCATGAAAACCTAGATATACACAAGCTGGAAGTAGAGACATGCAAGTTTCTGCCCTGCATTTCAACCTAACCAACCTTTCAACTCTTGTATCCTTCCGTCTCAAAATTATGAATATTCACCAAAACCTGGCAGAAATGTATTTTCAAACTCTTTTCGTCGATTCTACACAAACAAATCGCCATGCAAAAGGGGGAAAAGGGTAAGGAAGAGAAAGACTAAAAATAGTGACGGCGTAGAAATATTTGGTGAACTTTGTCCGTATAACATTGGGTGGATACAATGTTAAAAATATGGAAAATGGTTGTAGACCAATCGATTAACCTTTCCCAAAAATACAAAGCAAAATACAAAACATCTCTTTGGAAATGCATTCCCATACTTTATTTTGGGATTGGATGGCCGAATGGTTAGCACGTGCGTGCTGTATCATAATGCCTGTCATTGAGTAGGATCGCCTGTCCAACCTCGTGGGTTTTCTCCCACCGCTAAAGACCCCTACGCGCAAGCGAATTATTGAAATAAAATTAAACCATGTTAGTCCCGAAATGACCTAGTTTGTGTCGAGTGGACGTTAAACCCCATTTCTCTCTCTCTCTCTTCAGCACTCGAATCTCCATTCGCAACACCACCGTCATACATACTCTCAGCAACATTTTCACTATCTCCACTGACATTTCGTCCAAATCTTCAATCTTCTTTACTCTCACACTCAATACTCGCTGTACTTCTTCATTCAGTCTTCCCGCTATCAAAACCGACTCTCCACCTTGTCTATAACGCGTTGACATGCCTTAGCCCAGTTCCCGGTTGTCACACTAGCTTTCGCCCCCTGGAACAGACGCTTAACATCTTTGAATTTAAAAGTGGCGTTCCTCCGGGCGACATAGCTCTTTTCTTGTGCTAAAATGGAAGTATTTTTAATTTAATGTGGAGACACTTTAAAATGTTATAAGGTGTAGTAAAAGCTTCCATAAATGGATGGTTTAACCACTTTTTAACATCACAAATAAGAAAAGAATTATTATTTTTCAATGCCGTCAACATCACTGCCGCCCAAATTTCAGCGATAAGCATTACCTTGAATTATCTCTATTGGATTTAACTCGCAGTGCCTTACTGGTAACCGTAGGACTAAATTCCATGCTGATGGGCTATGTCGTCAGTCCTATATTGCTGTGGAGGACGATGTAAGGTCACCATTCTTAATAATTATGTCTGCAAAAACAATAGATCATGTTATCAAAGCTGCAAATGAATTTCAATCCACTCACTTGTGGGTTATTTCATGGAGCTATGTGGACGCGTAACATGAGGGGCGTTGTCCATCACAATGACGCTTGGTTCAGGGAGTGCGGGCATCAGGGTTTCTTCAAACCATTTATTCAAAAATATATACAGGTGATATTAATTTTATTATCCCCTTTTAAGGCCACATATGGAAATACTATACTGTTGATATAAAAGTCTGTACATTAAAACAATACTTACTTTCCATTCATTTCATCGTGATAATCTGTTGATTTTGATAGAAAAGGAATGAATCTATCGCATTCAGGGCATTGTGGGAACTCATATCATCATAACCACCCACTCCAAAACTAACATAAAATTCCGTTTTTGACCCAACCATCCGCGGCTACAACGGTGCTGCCTGACCATTCGATGCCATAATCAATATGGGACCTGTCCAGTCCCTCAGCGTAAAGGACTATGGATTGTACCCGACGCATCTATTTCCAAATGAGGTATTGGAGCAACAATGTATGTCACCCGTGCCAATAAGACTTTCTTTGCTGATTTGTTTAGTGCCAAGCTACGAGAGCGCCAAGGTCCGTGGTTGCCATGCGAAGTCGAAGCCCTGTACATCGCTGGGTCAGTGCGATATTTCATCCCATATATCATTCAGTCCAAACTACAAGAGTGTTCTTACGGATAGTACACCATGCGTCTAGACTATTGATAAACTATGCTACATGATAAAACCCTTCACAGGCATGGTATCTCACTTGACATTGGTCGAAAAACAATAATCCTGACAAAAACCCAGTAGCGAAAATGGCCATTGCAGAACTGGAAGACGAACTTTTACGTCAACATTCACATGGTGGAGCACTAACCCCACTATGCTTAGCTCTTGCAATAGCCCGTCTTAACTTATGAGTACGGAACAGAACAGAGGACTATCTGCCGATATCACCGCGATGTCAATTTACCAATATACACTACTACCATTGTCAGCTCGTCAACTGATCTTACACTTTACAGCAACATGACATACGGTTACGTAACCACCCTCTTCAATGCAAAATCTAAGAATGCTTCCAGCAGTTCTTTATGTGCTCAGCTAAATAAGGGGTGATCTCGTTTATTTAAAACCCGATGGAAATAAACACCAAGGCAGGGGCTGTTATTTGGTTGTATCAATTATTCACGATCAATGGTGTCACATCCGCCAATTCTCCGGTTCCCAGATACGTTCTGCGAACTACAAGATGTAACAGTTTGAGTGCTATACCTCTTTCCCAATCACTTTGGGGGATCACGTGGGTAAGGCGCTCGCTCGCTAGCCTGGGGGTCGGGTGTTCGATCCCTGCATTGGCCGAGAAAGTTCATCCAGATTTTCCGGCGTGGTTCCCCCTTGTCAGTGATGCAGGACGGAGGGCCTGACAAGGACAGCTGCCTAGTCCTTCGGATGAGACGAAAAAACTAGGTCTCGTGTATATATATATATTGGAATGCACGTTAAAGATCCCCTGACAGTTGGAATTCGATGTAAGAGTAGGCGATAGTGCCGCTGCCTGGGAAAAAATTTCCCTCATAGCACACTGTGTGGCGTATGCCCGTCTTCATTAGCCCAGTATAGGAGCAGAACAGTAGGACGTTAAACCCCATTTCATTTCATTTCATTTCTAATCACTTTGAATACATTTCTACCTATCAGTACCCTTTGAGTTTTTTCACCCACACCAGCTCATAAACCTACAGTAAAAACAGATCCCGAATTGGCGACAAACCCTGGAGACCCACGGTTCGATGGAGCCCGAAGCATCTACACAGAGTTTCATCGACAGGGCAAGACCACAACGCGATCGTCGTTCTCTGAAGTTAGTAAGGAGGTCTCGGGTTAACACCCGGTTTACGCCTAGAAAGTTCCTCGTTATATTCCGGCGTAGCTTCCCCTTGTCAGAGATGCAGATGGGACGAAAAACCGAGGCCATGCGTACACATTGCCGCTGTGTGGCGCCGCTGTCCAGACAAAATTAACTCCCAATGCACATGGCGTATGCCCGTCGTCATTAGCCGAGTCGATGTAAAGTAAAGTAGGACGTTAAGCCCCACTGCATTTCAGTTCTCACATGGGACGAGATCATATTTTACACTTGTCGAAATCGTGTCTCTTTTGTCATCGATGTCGAAATATTCCTCATCAGAATATTAAACTCCCTTAGACAGCATTGAAGCTTATTAATCATCATAACTCGTTTGTGGCATTGAAAATATTTTAGTCATCACTAATCACTTCAAAAGTACAGGGGCATTAGCTCAAAATTTCTTTATTCGTGCAAAAACGGAATACAATAAAGAAAAAGAAAGAAATTTAAGCTTATATTTACAGCATAATAAGATCTAACAGAGCCAAGGAAGAAATTTAAGTTTGTAACATTCTCGGCATAATAAGATCTACACATCACCCACGCTTTAACCGAACACTTTTGAATGTGCAAAGAATTCTCCAGTAACAACCCAAGCAGAGACGGAAAGATCACGTTTCTTACTTATTTTTTTTTTATTTACAATTCATTCATCTGAACATAATCTAGATTTTTTTAGTCACCTTTTTATTATAATGTTCGGAAGAAATCCTGTTGATATAGCCTTTGGAAAAACCATAAAGCACTTGTCTATATAAATAACAGAAAGTGGTCATATAAATTACCAATAATTAATAAATGTACAGTAGCGTCAATCAATATTTCATACCATAGACACTTCATTGACATTGCGGATTGTGGAACGACACCATTGTTTCGTTAGACATATAAAGACATTTTACATACAAATCTATCAATTTACGCATGACTTGGCATTTGAGAGAATTATACGAAACGAAGTATTGTAAGATTTGGTTTCGTATCATTTTCTCAGACATTCATGCGGACTGTTGGCAGTATGAGTGTACTTTAATAAATGAGCGATTATCTCAACATGGCATGGCGTCGACAATCAATCGCAATGAGTTGCTAACGAAAAATCGTTATTGTTTTTTTAAGAAATAAACCTCCTGACATTTAGTACGTTTTACATTAGTAAATTTGCAAGTATAAGGACATGCAGGATTCTTATGCATCCAGAATATTCTAAGACCCATATCGTAAAAGTTTTTAAGAAGTGTTAAGGCCCCGGTCAATCGATTACTAACATCATTACAGTTACCGCATGTGTGGAATTCTAACATAATCTGTTTTATATCTTTCAGTTCTCCAGCAGCCAAGGCCTCTGGTAAAACTTTCCATTCCCAGCCCTCGATGTCCATTTTTAAGACTGTTATATCTTCCTGAAGGTAAACCAAAACAAAAATAAACAAATGGTGTGACAGACAGACAGACGGACGAACCCATTTTAATAGTCACCTGCTTTCTTCGAAAGACGGGGGACAATAAAAAATATATTAACCTTACAGTAGGGGTGTCACAATAAGACATTTTTTTTACAAATCATTTCAGGCCAGCAATTTCCAGAGGCGAAATTGCTAGCTGAACACGATTTTTAGAATTTTTTTTATCTATGACGTCATTTTCGGTTGGGGTTTGTCTGATTTCCAAAATGGCCGCCAAAAGTTGACGTAAAATGAATTTCCAGATAGGATGAGTGATTTTCATGCAAGGTATGGCTTGTAATATATCATATATAAGGTTTTTGTTGTAATTGAACTGAAAAATAATCTCTAAAACTAGTTTCCCCAAATCCAAGATGGCGGAAATCCAAATTGCGGCTAAAATTTACCTAAAATGGCCGATTTGTCAGATTAAAGTCATTTCACAGTTTGATTTGGTTTGTAATATGTAATCTAAAGGGTTTTCACTGTCACTGAACTTAAAATTAATCTAAAGAAAAAAAGAGTTTTCAAAATCCAAGATGGCGGAAATTCAAAATGTCGACCAAAATTTATCTAAAATGGCCGATTTGTCAGATAAAAGTCATTTCACTCTTTGATATGGTTTGTAATACGTAATTTAAAGGGTTTTGAATGTCATTGAACTTAAAATCAATCTAAAATAGAGTTTCCAAAATCCAAGATGGCGGAAATTAAAAAATGGCGGCCAGATTTTCTCTAAATTGGTCAATTTTTAAGATAATCGTCAATTTTCTGTTTGATATGGCTTGTAATATGTCCTCTATTAAGTTTTCAGAGTCACTGAATTTGATAATTGTAGATGATTGTTTCAGAAAAAAAAGGGACAATCACCAATCTTTCTATTGGATTGGTTTATAATAGCAAATTGTAATAGTTTTTTTTAGGGCAACTGAATTTGATCTGACCCAGGAATCTACCTTAATCTAAAGAAAAAAAGAGTTTTCAAAATCCAAGATGGCGGAAATTCAAAATGTCAACCAAAATTTATCTAAAATGGCCGATTTGTCAGATAAAAGTCATTTCACTCTTTGATATGGTTTGTAACACGTAATTTAAAGGGTTTTCAATGTCATTGAACTTAAAATCAATCTAAAATAGAGTTTCCAAAATCCAAGTTGGCGGAAATTAAAAAAATGGCGGCCAGATTTTCTCTAAATTGATCAATTTTTAAGATAATCGTCAATTTTCTGTTTTGATATGGCTTGTAATATGTCCTCTATTAAGTTTTCAGAGTCACTGAATTTGATAGGGGGGTTGGATGGCTGAATGGTTAGCATGCGCGTGCTGTATCATAAAGTCTGTCATTGAGTCGACTGGCGTGATTTTGAATCCCCGGTTGTACGTGGCAAGGAGTAGGGTCGCCTGTCCAACCTCGTGGGTTTTCTCCGGGTCCTCTGGTTTCCTCCCACTGCTAAAGACCCCTACGCACAAGCCAATTATGTAAATAAAATTAAACCATATGTTAGTCCCGAAATGACCTAGTTTGTGCCGAGTGGACGTTAAACCCCATTTCTCTCTCTTTCTCTCTGAATTTGATAATTGAAGATGATTGTTTCAGAAAAAAAAGGGACAATCATCAATCTTTCTCTTGGATTGGTTTATAATAGCAAATTGTAATACTTTTTTAAGGGCAACTTAATTTGACCTGACCCAGGAATCTACCTGTCAATAAATAAACCATGTGCAGAACTTACCAGTCAGCTAATTAGAATTTCAAAGAATTTAACCTTAAGACACAATAAATGTAGCTTAATTGTTTTTATGCATAAAACCCCCATAACAATACAACGGGGCCAACTGACGCATTTTTAATTTCATCTCCTTTGTCTTTGCACCATTTTACCGGAGTGAGAATCATTTGTGGTATATCCAGTCGTTAAGAATTTAAGTTCTCCTATTCGTTCAGAAATGGTAATGTGGTCCGTTTTTGCATCGAAGACTCCGTGTCCAGTAACTTTTGTGGTATAGTCTAGATGTTGTATCCACAGGTCATTTTCGTCAGTTACGTATTTCACAACAAGTTCTACATGTAAGAACAACACATAAGAAAAGAGAAAATCGTGGGGGATGACTTTTGGGATACCTAGTCGTAAATGCATTTCCAATTATTTTCGTGATGATTATTTTTAACTTAAAACTTGGTGTGCATTACATTACAGACGAATATGATCTGTGGATACCATACCACACAAGTTGCGGACACAGAGACTTCGATGATTCATTTTACACTTTTCACTTTATGAAATACATGACTGACAAATATGAATTCATCTGTCTAGATGATACCACAAACGGTTTCCGGACATAAGTCTTCTGAACAAAAGTTAATAAATATTGATATTCGTCAAGCAGTGTGCTATGAGGAAAATTGGCCCAGACAGTGGTACTATGGTGTACTCTTATTTCGAATTCCAACTGTCTAGGGTTCTTGTATGCGCACGTCAACGTGTACATATAAACCTGGTTTCTCGAGAAGCCCCCGGTGCTGCATCCTGACAAGGAGAAACCACACTGGAAAATCCTATGGTACTTTTTCAGCAAACATAGGGATCGAACCCCAGATCTCGTTCTTAGCGAGTCTTACTCACTGAACCACTATTTCGAACCATTTCTGAATAAACAATAGATAAATTCTTAACAACTGGATATATATACCTCACTGTTTTGCTGGAATAATATTAAATCTTGTTTATGTGAGATCCAGTATAACAGTTCCAGTTACCATCAAAATAACTACTACTCTTTGCTATTACAAGCCAATCCCATAGGAAAATTCACGATTGTCCTGTTGTATTTTTAAGCAATCATCTACCATCTTCAAAATTCATTTTTGATGTAATATTCATTTTCAAAATTCATTTTTGAGGTAATATTCATTTTCAAAATTCATTTTTGAGGTTATTTTTAAGTTCGTGGACTTTGAAATCCTAATAAAGGACATTATTACAAACCATACAAAACCGAAAAAATGACGATTATCTGAAAAATCGTTCATTTTAGGAAATTCTGGTCGCCATTTTGGATTTTGGAAACTCTTCTTTTGAGGTTGTTGAGTGACACAGAAAACCCTTTAAATCGCATATCACTCGCCATATCAAACTTAAAAATGACGATTATCCGAAAAATCGACCATTTTAGGGAAATTCTGGCCGCCATTTTGAATTTCCGCCATCTTGGATTTTGGAACCCCGTTATATTTAGATTAATTTTAAGTTTAGTGACACTGAAAATCCTTTAAATTACATATTATAAATCATATCAAAGAGTGAAATGACTTTTATCTGACAAATCAGCCATTTTATATTTTTGTATTTATTGATGTCAGTAAGATGTTACTATGGAGAACGTAAATTTCAGATTATACATTCCAGACTTCGTAATTGTAAAAGTGCTCTAAACTTCCATAGATTTTTAATGCATATTTCACATAACCCGACATGCAGTTGTGGTCATACTCAAGAAGACAGCGACCATTATTTTCTGCACTGCCCAAATTATTCGTCTCAGCGTATCTCAACATTAAATACCCTCCCATTTAAATCCATAAATACAAAAGCGTTCCTATATGGCGATACCAACGAAAGTAACCCGTTCAACAAAGTGAGTTTTAGTAAAGTTCACAAGTATTTAAAACTAAACAAGCGCTTTGAATAGATAAGGTAATTGTCAGGCGACGATGATTGGTGTTAAATAGTGATGATGACGATGATGATGACGATGATGATGACCATGAAGATGATTTATTTATATATTTATTTATATACTAGAAGAATGCCCGGCTTCGCTCGGGGGTCATAACTCCGAAACCGGAAGTGGTAGACTAACGCCACCTGGCCTATGTTACTCCCCGGTATGAGCTACCCCTATACCCCAAATTTCAGACTCGGAAATGACAACGTGAATGATGGATCAGTCGAACGACAGAGTGAATGACAGGAGTTTTCCAGTCGAATAATAAAGATAATGGCAACGCTGGTCATAACATATCTGTTTATAATATATTTCATATAAATGTTTATAGACGTATTTGAAAAATACATTTAGGTCTACGTGTAATGTTGAATGTATAAATTCGGAAATGTTTTGATCTCTTGAACTGTATTATTTAAAATACACGATTAACGTATTAAATTGTAAATAATGAATCAAGCCAAGACATGTATTAAATGTTTTAAATGTTTTATTGAATTAGAATAGAAACTGAAAACAGATTAACACCCTGTGTGAGATATTTCATTCAAATATTGTGAAAGGGTTGGTAATAAAATTAAAATTGTCATTGTGTCATTTTAATAACATTGAATCGTCCTATTCTGTTACGTAGTCGTCTCAACATATTGTTGTCATGGGTTACTTCTGCTAAACAACTCAATAGAAACGAGTAAAGTATTATAAACGAAATTATGTCTAAAGAGTTCTTCATGACATGTATTGACTGTAAGACACAAAGCGTACAGGATCTAAGTGTGATGTTAAAGGTCAACACGTAACTAGTGAACTGATAAATATTGTACAATTTATCTAAAGAGTACATTTATGAAAACGTGGTACTTTTCTGATACCTAGTTAAATTAACACTTACCCAGATCTTGGCATAAGCATGACTTAAAATGATCACGGCTAAAACACTTCCGTGCGAATCAAGAATTTTTTATGTAAGAATAGAGCTTTATAAGACCGTAAATGCACCACACATTATGTCTCCATAAGATGGTAGCTATATCAAACTTAAAAATGACGATTATCCGAAAAATCGACCATTTTAGGGAAATTCTGGCCGCCATTTTGAATTTCCGCCATCTTGGATTTTGGAACCCCGTTATATTTAGATTAATTTTAAGTTTAATGACACTGAAAATCCTTTAAATTACATATTATAAATCATATCAAAGAGTGAAATGACTTTTATCTGACAAATCAGCCATTTTAGGTAAATTTTGGCCGCCATTTTGAATTTCCGCCATCTTGGATTTGGGGAAACTAGTTTTAGAGATTATTTTTTCAGTTCAATTACTAAAAAACCTTATATATGATATATTACAAGCAATACCTTGCGTGATAATCACCCATACTATCTGGAAATTAATTTTTCGTCAAATTCTGGCGGCCATTTTGGAAATCAGAAAAACCCCAACCGAAAATGACGTCACAGAAGTAAAATAATCTCATAATCGTCTTCAGTGACAAATTTTGCCTCAGAAACAACCCGACCCCAAATTTTGTTCCGATTGTGACACCCCTACTTACAGTGTAATCATAAAATTTCTACATGTAGATTTTTGAAAGATCTCCAACCACAACCGAAACATATCATTGCTTGGCAAATACCCCCTCCCCCCCCCCCCGCCGCCAACGGTATGAATTGGAGCAAGAACATCCCTTTATATTGTTATGATTTCATGGGCAACTCGATACATTTTAAATTTCTCTGGGACAGAGTACCGACTATAGCTGCATCTTGTAACTGGCAGCTTATTAGGTTTATCTTAGTCATTAAATATTGTATGTTAGTGACAAGATCCATGGTTTCTTGTATAGTAAATAGGTTTGAGTACAGATCTTTTATCAATGTAGGGATGTAAGTATGACAGATTCATATTCCACAATAAATATTTGATAATTGTTCGGGAGGTGTGGTTAATCCCCCAAAACAAAAATGAATTAATGAACTTTGGTTAGCTGTTGTCCCCTGCCCAATAAACGAAATTAAACTTTCATATGGAGAATACAAAACATAGGTTGGAGCAGAATAGTTCAATTTAGGCAGATGACATTGATATTCGGACCCCGGCTAAATATATACGCGTGTGTGACATTGATTTTCGAATTTATACGGGAGACATAAATCAGTTGACTAGAATTACAATCATTACATTTGAATGATTAAATTCTTGGGACAAACACTGTACGAATAGAAGTTCAAATATGCTTGAATTCATAAGCATGAAACTGGTTACTTACGTCCTCGTGCTCAAGTTCTTTTCTAATGGCCGATAGAGTTTGCATCTTCCAGCCATTACCGGGAACTTTGCCAGTGTAATCAGCAATACCAGTAGCATGGAAGAAGACGTGTTCGTTTCTTTTATGATCTTTGGTTTTCCCCATACTGAAAACAGAAGTTTTAAACATGGTGATACCGTTGTAGTCCCCAAAGAGTTCCGAATTACGTTTGTCTTGCAATTTAGATGTCGATATTTATTTAGAATAGGCTACCAATTGTATCCAGCGAATTCACATGCATGATCTGGATTGGGGTTTCTCACATTTTGTGATATTCTTTTCGAAGCTGTTAAACATTCTAATAACTTTAACCCTTAATCGGCCATCTTTATGATTTTACTGGTTGTTACAGTATCGGGTCTTTATATTAGGTTCTTGACAACACTGGTTTACTTTTATTCTTCTTTAAACATTATGCACAAAACGTAAGACCCCGTAATTAGCTTGTGTTGAGGGAGCCATGGTCATAGCTCATATTGACACCCTTGCGTGCCAACCCCCAACTAAGTTACATGGCCTCTTCCCGGTCTTAACTCGAGACCTGTCTGGTCCCAAGTTACCTTCTAGACGCAATAGCCTAGTCTCCAATAGCTTGTGTTGAGGGAGCCATGGTCATAGCTCACATTGACACCCTTGCGTGCCAACCCCCAACTAAGTTACATGGCCTCTTCCCGGTCTTAACTCGAGACCTGTCTGGTCCCAAGTTACCTTCTAGACGCAATAGCCTAGTCTCCACCGTCTCGTCTCATCTCTGGGTTTTTAAACCCTTCTAGAAAAAGGATCTCATTACACATCTGGCTACTGCATCATATCAGATTTAACATTCAGTACAGTTTGCTTATGAGACAGAGTAAATTCAGTAAAACAGGCCAACCATCAGTTTATATTATGGAAATGACTAATGAATGCTATCAGGACCACCACCATGGGTGTCGATAGCAGAGATTGATATTAAAATCAGTTCCGCTTTCAGGTGTCAAGATGGCACGAAGCGTCTATAACATCTGTCATTATGTAACACGGTGGCCTTAAGCCACAAAACGATTCGATTTCGCATTACATCAAGGGGTTGTGTTTCTAAATGTGTGACATGCAGACAAACGGACAAACCCTATTTTAATAATCAGCATTCAAAGGGCTCAGGACAAAGATAGAATGAAATTATGTCCAATATTTACTTACGATGGGTCAAAAGAGTGAACACGGGCATTTAATCTCTTTCCAATAGCATCATCGAAACTGAAGTCATTGTTTATTCTGAAACAAAAAAATAAAACATGTATTATTATGTTCCCGAATTTTAACAAGTAACATATGCAACAGGTGATAATCTGTTTTCAACCCAGTGTTGAGATATTACCGTTTTTGTATTCCACTGTTGGCATAGTAGATCACACCCAACTTCAAACTAAAATTCTGTTGTTTTTTTTTCAATTGATGTTTTGCATGACTTGTTTTATTCAAAATGTTACGTCACAGTTTACGCCAACAATAAAACCAAATCTAAACAAGTCAACTTTCGCTTAATCTTTCGAAACAGAAACAAAAAATGTTGTTATATCTTTACAGCTTGTATATTGTCCCATCACTAATCGAAATATCACATCACATAAATAAAATCGGCAGCTTAGCCTTCAATCACATGAAAACGGTCATATTTTAATCTTGTAATTAACTTACCCAAAAGAATATACTAGACTGTTATTTTCAGGTTTATATGGCTTATCTTCACATAAATCCCACCCACCATCATTAATGTTACCTAGCCGTATTCTTTTATTACACGGTACTTGAATTTGTTCTATATATCTGTCAGTAGAAAAAAAAATCAAACACAATACAAGATTGTCTGAATAACCTTGGACTCATTTAATTATACCAACCTTCTTACTTAGAAAATGAAATGAAATGGAATAGGGTTTAACTTCCTATTGTTCTGCACCGACTTCTTGTTTTATTAAAAGCAACATTTTTAATCTGACAAGTATCTTTATCACGCAATACACCTGTAATATATTGGAACGTTGCATGTAATAAAATTGTATTTTATACATTAAGAAGTATCTCTTTGATTATCTATTCGCAGACAAATGCCCATTTTCGCCGTTTAATGGACACTTGATCGCTTTAAAATAACTTAAAGGTCACCCGAAAAGCTTCCTAATTTTTTTAAATGTCAATATTACCTGCAACAGGTGAATTTCAAGGTTAGTAATTTTCGCCGTTCTCCCTTAATAAACAATCCGTGACGTCATTTTAGTCCTTCTGCTCATAGAAATATAGACTAGAATATGAGAAGGACTTAAATGACGTCACTTACATCCGGTCACCTTTAAAGAAGCATTATGTAAGATTTAGATATAGAGTTGGCCTTTCATGCTATAATAATTAAAAATGGATATTAAACAATGAATATATTGAATATTTTATTCAAATTACTTTATTGTGAGCAAAGTTAAGACTGTTGGCAGATGTGTTGATTGTTTATTATAGGAGCAACGGTACTGGACAAATTAGACTAAGTCTTGATTATCCATTTATATTGTACTGAAAACTAAACTTATAAAACAAGCTGACCAGCTCAACACTCGCAGGTTGTCGTAAAGCGTGTAAGCATTCCAACGACCACTATATAAACATTCTAACGACCACTGTTTAATGTAAAAGACACAGATGGCGATAAAAAAAAAGCTGGTTGCGGGCAATCAGAATGGTGTTGTCAAAAGAACGATGCGTGCTTAACTGATTAAAGACAGCCCTTTCACAGACATTGTTGAATGTGACTCGAAGCACTGCTGTAAAACATATCTTAATGCTTACCCAAAATATAGAATCGTTAGATCTTTCGCACTTAATTTGGACAGCTCTTCTGTTGTAGGCAATACCCAGATACCGTCCCGGAAGTATGTTAATGCGCCTTGCTTTAAAAGGAGGAGAAAAGAGAACAATTAGCATATATTTGGGATCATCCTCGGTATCGCCAGTGGTATCGTTCAGTTCTACTTCATCAACCCCTGGGTTCATTTACGGGATTTTCATGAATTCAAATTATCCACTCTTGAACCAATCAACCCAGTCTTAGCGTCACTGTTTACGTTCACCACAGTAAAACGCTCGATTTTGAGAAGGGTTGCAAGAAATTTAATGTTAACAGAAGTCATATTCCCACAAAACGATGTCCTTAAATATTTTGACAGAGTTTGCATCAACGATTGGGTTAGCTGCAATAAAATGCGAGTTCTCTCCCCTGTGATTGGAACCAGGGGTTAGTGAAGTAAAGCGAAATGATACCACTGGGAATACCGAGGATTATCAACGGCACAGACAGTGAAATTACGGGAATCGTTCCTTGGAGTAGTTTTTATTCTTTATCAAGAATACTCCACCGATTGTCAAGCGGTCGGACCTTTTCAGTAGAGTACCCAGAGCGGTGTCAAGCGACTGTAATCTCTTCCTAAAATATTTCTTGAGGTTTCAGGACGTCTTCAGTCGTATTTCGTTTCGTCATTATTGTATGTTTCGTCAAGCAAGTATACAATCACGTTTTGCCGCGACCGTCCAGTGTCATTCAAACACTGCAGATCCCTTCCTCTCAATAAATCCATTAGATTCGGTTCAATCCAGTCAAACCATAAATACTTTAGTACCTGTTCCTTTTGCTGCGTATCTGAAAAAGAGAAAACACGACCCGTACTGCTAGATTTAGGGATACAACTGCGAACGCTTTCAACTATTTTTACAATCATGCTTATAACTTTCATCAAACTGAACAATCATTTAACTTATTGACCCCAGCTGGTTTTTGATAGATGATATCGACTTTGCAGCTCTGTATATACTTCTGATAAAGCACGAACTGACTATGATCTAATTAAACATGTAATTAATCCCATATGTCAGTTACAAACTATATCAGCGTACAAGCTCCGCATGACTTCAAATAAAATAAAACCAAGTACGAACAATCCAAACCATAACACAGAATTCGAAGTCCTAAAAAACGTTATAGGCAAAATAGTGTATTCAAGAAAAATAGTGTAATCAGCAAATGGACTGCTCCTCGTGTACAAAATACACGACATACGGACTGGTCAGTAAACGTGATAAAAGACAATTGCATGTATGATCATGAGTTTTATCTATTTTCCCTATGTCGGAGTTTGCTGACAGTTAGAGAGACGAGGGGGAACGAAACCAGAGACGGAGAGTCCGGCGTATGGACTCCACCGCTGCCGTGACAGGAGGACAGGGTGCTTGTCTTAATGTACCATGTTAATGTTATCGTTTATGTTTCTGTTGTATTTATGTAGATGTTTTATATTCTGTTCCGATGCAAATAAACCTTATAAATATGAAACTGATCTGTTATCACTAAGACAGTGTTACAACTAGCCTACCTATTATCGATACAAGCCTATTTAGTTTAATATAATCTTTCAGGTTTTCATACTATAAAGCAAAACAGAAACCGCCCCACCACCCCCGCCACATCTTCTAGATCCGCTACTGCTCGCTATGGCAATTTACGTAATCAATAATGTACCTTGTTCTTTTTTCACATCTTCGATTGCAGACTTTAAGAGAGTCGCCTGAAATTATAAATGAAATGAAATGAAATGGGGTTTAGTGTCCTACTCTTCTGCTCCGACTGGGCTAATGAAGGAATTACGCGTGAACAGTCCAAATTGAATGACAGTCGTTTCAGCTGCCTTAGCCGATTTTACTAGTCTTATAAAAATTATTTTGTTGTTTGTGAATCAACTATTTTTAAATTACTTCCGCTTTGTCATGTGGGATATGTTTTTTTTTTGTTGATAACAAATGGCACTCCAAAGTATAGAGAACTCGACGCAGTGTACTGATTTTAAAATATTCATTGTATCTCAAATATTGGATATTAGGATTCTACATTTTCATTATAAGATAACATCAACATTGATCGAAATGGACCAATATTTAATTATAATGCGTGTTTTTAATTTCGTATATTATGGATAATATTGGGTTAAAGATGCTGGTCGCTTGACACAAGAACTATAGTAAAAAGAGATTCCATCCGCATGAAGAATAGAATACTTCAACGGATATCATTATCTACTGTGTATTATTACAAACGCATAAATGACGTTTAAAAAATTGAAAAACCAAATATAGGATTAAAACATAAAAAGTGGATAATATACATAAAAGTTGAGTAAAATCAAGTACTGTATAAAATTATAGATATAATTAAAAGCCCTATTAAACAAGTGGATTTTAAGAGAAATCTTAAATGATGACAGAGAAGTACATGACCGAATGGAAAAAGGAAGTTTATTCCATAGTTTTGGGGCAGCAACCTCAAAGGCCTTCTCGCCGAAACTGACGAGATCAGCATTTTTGTCAATATGAAGACCGTACTTGTCGACGAGGTTCTTAAAAAACATAAAAGGTGCTAAGATAAGTAGGTACAATGTTATTTATACATTTAAGAACTAATAATATTCAATATATTCAATTCTATATTGTAATTGTAATCTTCCTGTAGAATACTCCAAAAATGGTGTAAAATGATAAGCGTAGTGGCAAGCAGAAATTTTTAACTAGAATGTCCACTGGGTATCTAGCTAGGTACTCCAGTGGTGTCACACAGTGGGAATCTCTTTTTTAGAATGTTTCCCAGGGTGTCAAGCGACACAAATCTTCAGCTGCAATAATTCAAGGGGTGTCAAGTGGATAATAGTCTTTGTCAAGCGGATGGAATCTCTTCCTAGAATAGTTCTCGGGATGCCAAGCCGTCGAAATCTTAATTATAACAGTCCACTGAGTGTCAAAGCAATCCTTTTCTAGATTACTCCAAACGATGTTATGCGGTGGAATATCTACCTAGAATAGTTCTTCGGCGTGAAGCGGTCAGAATCTTTATTTTGATCGATTACCCCAATCAGTGGCAAACGGGTGGAATTACTGGAATCTCTTTCTGTAATAGTTTTTGGGGTATCAAGAATAGTCCACTGGGTGTCACGCTGCCGGACCTAATAGGGAAACTTAGCGTTGCAAACCGGTGTAACAACCTACAGAAGTTGCCGCTGGATGCCGCTTAAAAAATCCATAAAAAGATCTAATTTAAGAAGGGATGGTTTTACTAGATTAGGCTCTACCCAGGTAAACCACACGTTTACTGAAATAAAATACTTTATTACCTGTTCTAACTTCTGTGCCACTGAAAAAAAGAATAACATGACTCTTACATGGAGTTCGGGAGATAGGTTATTTCGGAACTAACAGGTGGTTCAATTTCATTTGAGCGTAGGGGTGTTTTTAGCTGTGGGGGGACCAGAAGAAAACCCTCGAGGTGGGATAGGCGACCCTACTCCTAGTCACGTGCAGGCAGGCAATCAAACCGCGCCACTTTACAGAACTTGTGATTCGGCCACTCAACTCTTCCGCTAGACGCTCAGATGATGGAAACCGACAATCTTCATTTCAAAGAAGCGCGTAATTAGTGACAATTTACATAGTTATAAATACCTTGTTCTTTTCTCACATTAGCCAATGCAGACTTTAAGAGAGTCGTCTGAAATTTAAAAGGAAAAAAGTAAGATACCTGCCGGTGCATCAATCGGCCGTGGACATACAGATGTGTCTCTACCAGACCCCAGTATCCCACCCTATCACCCCCAGGAATTTGCTTTCGGATTGACCTGTAATTAAACTAATAATACCCACATTAATTTCATTATAACACTAGAATACTTAATTTGATATACAATACTAGAATACTTGATTTTATATATAATACTAGAATACTTGATTTTATATATAATACTAGAATACTTGACATGTAATACAAGAGTACTTGATATGTAATACAAGAGTACTTGATATGTAATACTGGAAGGAGTGGTATAGATATACGATCATTTAGTTTACTAAACCAAGGGATTGTATACATTACCAAGTAAACTAGTATTATATTATAAGTCAACTGCTAAATGCCTCTAAAGGATTATATTTGTTTCATTGTAAGGACATTAATAATAACATAACTTTATTTACGAAGGGTAGAGGATTAGCATCATTAGGCTGCAGAAGCCTTTGTATCATCCTGTCCTTCATGAAAAAATGTAATACAGTTCAGCGGTATGATCGGCATTAAGTGGTAGTTTAAAAGTCACGAATTGTCGTCTAGAAAGACATACAATAGATTTGGAGTCACATAAGTCCCAGATTGGAGAACAGTAATCAAAATGTGTCTGAATATGAGCATTATAAAAAAAAGGGTGTTGTAGGCACCATGGTCACAGAACAAGACAACAGTCTTCCCTTTCTATATATCATTATGAGAAGAAACAACAAATCGCTCCAAACTAATTTATGGGGAACTTGCCCCCATCTGTCAGGGGGCAAGCAATGTTTAAAATGTCTGTCGTTCATAGTAGATGATTAACTATCAAATGGCCCTTAGTCTTACAAATTTTTAGTTGCCATCTCCAATATTGGATCTAGACCCATAGAGACCCCCCCCTTTTAGGGTATATCTGTCAGGGGGGTGTTACCCCCAATATAGTCTGCCATTACTGTTTCCATAATTAAAATTTATGTTGGTGCCAGATTCAATGTTTGAGATACCACACCAAATTGATTTCTATATTACCTTAGTGTAGTTTGAATAAGTTACAGTAATTGACAGACAGTCAGGTCAAGACGAGGCTAGAGCGGGGGGCCATGGGCACCTTGAGACGAGGCTAGGCGAGACGGAATGAGGGAGAGCGTCTGGGATATGGCGCATTTGTGCCAAGCTAGGACATGGCTCCCTCAATACAAGTTAGTTATGGGTTCTTTAACATTAAGATGTTTGTACTTGATGTGTAAGAAGCAGAATAAAAGTATTATAAGATGTTAAACCAGTGTTGTCATCAAGAACCCGACTTAAAGACCCAATACTCTCACAGCGTTTCTCCCATTGCATAGTTTCATTTGTATGAATTAAAAATCAAATTTCGCTGTAAAATGCCGCTATGGCCTATATATGGAAGATAAATAATTATGTGATAAAAAATGAATTATTTTTCATGGCTAACATTTTTTGGATAGGGCGTTTGTAAATATTTACATATAGGCTGGTAGGAGACACCCCGATCTGTGGGAAACAAATGATTTTTGCTTTTTTGTAAGGAGAGAGAGAGAGAGAAATGGGGTTTAACGTCCACTCGACACAAACTAGGTCATTTTGGGACTAACATATGGTTTAATTTTATTTCAATAATTCGCTTGCGCGTAGGGGTCTTTAGCAGTGGGAGGAAACCGGAGGACCCGGCTTTTTTGTAAGGAGGTATGTATCTAGTACCCTTGGGTAATTTTTTTTATGGACGATTTAGGTTTGGTATCCGACCTCAAAATGAATGATCCGTGTAAAACCGCCTTATTTAGGTTATCCCCAACCAGGCGATACGTTTCAAGTCAGTAGCTTGAAGCGTATATATGGTATTAGTGTCAGTGGCCTGTGGCACGAAGTAACAGTATATTGTCGCATACATAATATATTATGTCAACGCTTGGGCGATATAATATATTATGTCAACGCTTGGAACTAGGATGGAGGTGACTAGGCATGAACTTGCAACGATAGATTTAATTGGCGCTTTGATAACCAATGAATGCTTTGGAGACATATTTTGGCGGTATTTTCCATCATGGAATCGGTAAGTTTCGATTGTTTTTTTCTTTTCTGTTTTTTCTCTCTTTTCTGTGTCCTAACCCTAACCCTAATCCGAAAGAAAAGTGCCCTTTTTTGAAATTCTGACATCACAGGTGCCCTTTTTCTGATAAGGATGCCCTCTTTTATTTACAGGGACACTTTCTATTGTTAAGGGGGTGGACCGGTCCCCATGGTCCAACCCCTGGATCCGCTCTGATGACGCGTACATTCCACTGAGTCTACAGGTCTAATATGCTAACACGCTTGGAGCGTCAACACAATATATTATGTCGCCCAAGCGTTGACATAATATATTATGTATGCGACAATATACTGTTACTTCGTGCCACAAGCCACTGACACTAATACCATATATACGCTTCAAGCTACTGACTTGAAACGTGCAGGGTGCCCCAACTTTACGCACTTTAAATATGTTATCAAATTGCAAGTAACCATAAACACACTCAATACGGCGATGTTTTTAAAAAAATATTATTAGCGCACATATTTATAGCCACCATACTCGTCTGATTTGGTAGGATGAACTGTCATTGAATTGTATGTTGACGCGGATAGGAGATGGCTCAGTTTTTGTTGACTTTGTGGTGCTGAGTAGCAGGATTTTGGTTAAATTTTGAGTAGATAATATAATGGTCACAAATATTGAGGGAACGCTGGTGAGTTTTGTGATGGTGGCTTTCTTGATCTGATCTGAAACGAGTCGTTGGTTTGTAATGGAGATACTGGTTGTTGTGGACTAGTTCCCCATAAATTAGTTTGTTGTTTCTTCTCATAATGATATATAGAAAGGGAAGACTGTTGTCTTGTTCTGTGACCACGGTGAACATAATTTCATTATGCTGTGTGTTGCAGTGGTCTAGTAAGGAGATGGGGGGGGGGGCGTGACCATGTCGACAACATCGTAGGAGACGAACCTACGTTCACGTTATTACAAAAGTCTTTGGAGTCATGTGAGAATAAATATTTCGAAAGGTTTTGGGCTGTTCTGTAGACGACAGAACCACAGGTGCACACGTGTAACCTAGTTTTGGATGGGGTCTGATGATGGCAGACGTGTCTATGGTCTTTGGTTTGATGAGTAGAAATTTTAATGTAGTGTGTAGTTTGATTCTTCTTGAAGAGTGTTGACAATGCTGACGCAGTCAGGTGTATCCATTATTACAGCTACCGTCTCTTTGTCCGCAGGTACTATTGTGATTACCCTGTCTTTCTGAAGTTCTTTAGGGGCTTTATGTGTGGTTGTTGGGTTGTCACCTGTGAGGAGGCTAACATTGATAACAGTTTTGGTAATACACTATATTTTCATTCTGAGATGTTTTAGAAGGTGCTTGGGTTGAGATTTAGTTGGTTGATATTATTGGTATGGTTGCATTTCACAAGGATGTATAGTTTGGCATTGGCTTCAATCTGTTGTTAAGAACGTTTTATGCACCAGGAGTTATGTGCGGGCGAGCTTGTTACGCTGAACTTCATATAATTTGAAGTGTTTTTCATACCCTAATAGCGACGAGAGAATCAGCATCGACACTTTGCCAGAAATAAACATCTTAGTAATCTGTGATTTTTACAATTGTGTCATGTGCTAAGCCCAGCTTAGGCATGTTCCTGAGGAGCCCAGGGTCCCGCACTTTAGGGGGCCCCGCGGTTCATGGCAAAAACAGAAAAAATTAAATTCAAGATGAAATTTTCACGGTAATCGATCTAGCTTTGCAAGAGCGGAGACTGAGCTATCCCTCGACCTTTTCTATGTAGCTACACTCGGTGATCGGTCTTATAGGCTTCTAGACTTATATGCCATTCGGAACTGAATAGATTTCGTATGTGATCAGATATTATGTATTTGTTCTTGTATTACAGACCGTTTAATTGTGTGTTACACATGCGCGCCATTCAAAAAGATATGAAAAAATATTTTCATCGCGTCAGGGGCCCCGCGATTCTAGTCAGGCCCAGAGCCCCGGTCCAGATAAGCTGGGCTTTGGTCATGCGACACATCGGAAATGTTGTGTAATAGGTGATTCAATGGTCAGTGAGCAGCTAGTATACATCCTCATCTGGATCAATATTGGATTCGTGTGTCCAGGGTTCATGACTAGAATAGTTAAAGTCATCAAGAGATGCGCTCGTTCTCGAGATAAAGAGTTAAGTGAACGCGGTGAGTCATCACTGAAAATGCCTGGGTGGCCATTTATGATTAGTTGGAATATGTTGACGATTTTTACTTACATTCTATACGTTAGTCATGGGGTAATGTAGAATAGATTTTAGGGTGGAGCGATTAGATTTCTGGTTGGGATATCCCACTATTGAAACAATTTGGCCATTGCCATTCTTATGCTGAGCATTTTGCAACAAGTTTCGTGCGATAAGTAAATATGCTTATCTGGGTTATAGCCTTTTGTGTGGAGAAATGAAATGAAATGAAATGAAATGGGGTTTAACGTCCTACTGTTTTGCTGGAGAAAAGGGACGGCAGAAGTTTGCCCAATACTACCCAACATAATTGAAGTATTATAATAGTTTCCCATAATAACGAGGTAGTGTTTAGTTAGTATTGGGTAAATTGCCCAGCCCGGCGAGGATACCCCACCACTGAAAATGTCTGGAGGTGGTCGTTGTTAATACATGTGGTTAGTAAATGAGCGATTATGGACGCTTGACGAACTCCCCACTGACAATATCGGACAGTTGGCACCAGTACTCACACTGGGTTCCACTTTTTTTCCGCCAATTTTTCATTTGAATTTCTGTATTTGCTTTTTTTTTTATATATATAATGTTTTGTCAACTAAACCCTCTTTCATAGTCTGCAGTTGTCCAGATCTACATTTTCCAAATGCGCTTTTAAGTAT